GTGGCCCATTTTGGGGTGTGTGGCCATGACCACGTTGAGTGTTGGCCAAGGGGTGTCGACTTTGGGTGTGGCCAACAAGGGGCGTGGCCTTTTGAGGGGCTAAAAGCGGGCGTGGCCTTTGAGGGCGTGGCCTTTCTGACACGTCTAGTGGGCGTGGCCAATGGGGTCGTGGCCAGTGGGAGTGGGTGGGAACGGCCAAAGGGAGGTGACAACTCGCGTTGACCGTCGCGTCGACCGGCCCCCAACCAGCCCATCGGGAGAGGACGGAGGAAAAGAGGGCGTGGCCCGGGGGAAAGGGGCGTGGCCCGGGAAGGGGCGTGGCCAACCCTTGGCCAATGGGGGGAGGGGGGAGCCCCCGAGGGGCGTGTCCTCACCCGAGTGCAGCCCGATGCGGATGCGCACGGCGGCCTCGGGCATGTGGCGCATCTTGAAGGTGCCGACGGCGCTGAGGATGTCCAGCGCCATGTTGGCGATCTCGGCCGCGTGGCGGTTCCCGTTGCGCTTGGGCAGCCCCGAGGCCACCATGTAGGCGTCCCCGATGGTCTCCACCTGGGGACAAGGAAGGGATTGGGGACGTGGGCTTTGGTTGGTTGTGACCACCTTGGACCAGCCAACCCTGAGACCACCATGGAGGTGTTCCCAGTGGTGGGGACAGAGGGGACAAAGAAAGGATGGGGGACATGGGGATGGAGGGGACAAGGGGGACATGGGATTTGGTTGGTCGTGACCACCTTGGACCAACCTTGAGGCCACCATGGAGGTGTCCCCAGTGGTCTCCACCTGGGGACAAGGAAGGGATTGGGGACGTGGGCTTTGGTTGGTTGTGACCACCTTGGACCAACCAACCCTGAGACCACCATGGAGGTGTTCCCAGTGGTGGGGACAGAGGGGACAAAGAAAGGATGGGGGACATGGGGATGGAGGGGACAAGGGGGACATGGGATTTGGTTGGTCGTGACCACCTTGGACCAACCTTGAGGCCACCATGGAGGTGTCCCCAGTGGTCTCCACCTGGGGACAAGGAAGGGATTGGGGACGTGGGCTTTGGTTGGTTGTGACCACCTTGGACCAACCAACCCTGAGACCACCATGGAGGTGTTCCCAGTGGTGGGGACA